TGAGCCTCCTGGCCTCGCCTCCTGGGAAGTCTGCGGGAGTGAGCGGGCGGGGGGCTGCACGGGGCAGCAACAAATGGCACCCCTCAATAACAAACACTCATTGTCCTTGAGAAAGGCTGAGGCTTGTCAGAGTGAAAAGGACGCATATTGAGGTTAAGAGCCAAGCCTCCCCGAGCGTCTCAATGGGGAAACTGAGGCTCAGAGCCATAGCTAGGTTCTTGGAGCTGTCCAGGGGACCCAGTGCTGAAGGAAGGGGCAGGACTGGAGAAGGCGCGCAGATCTGGAAGGATTGTCCCAAGAAGGGAGCACTGCGCATACGACCGGATGATCACATATGGATGGATCTTCTCCGACCAGAGTGGTAGCTTACCAAGGTCTTGGCTGGCAGGTGGCCTTCGGGACCCTGAACCCTCGCACCAAGGCAGGGAGAGAGGGGATTCCTGCGCTGGACAGCTGCAGGCTTTGGGCATGATACCGGCTGGAAAATGCGGGGTTGGTGTCTGGACCTCCTAGCCGCTTTCCATGGCGTGGGGCTGGCCACACCGCGGTTGCCAACAAAAATTCCCCAAACCCCAGGCCCCGCGTGTCCCTTGTGTTCCTTTGAGCCCAAGCACAGAGAAGGAAACTAGGGCCCAGGAGGTTTAAGAACTTGCCCAAGGTCCCCAGCGAAATGAGATTCTCCCTGCCCCCATGTTTGTCCCAGAGCTGGCGGTGTGCACAGAGAGGCCTTTCCCCACCCAGTGAGGCTTGCCGAGGTGGTTGCCTGTGAATCAGACATTGCCACCAGGCAGCCCTGTGTGGGTAGTATGGGAGCCTGCACCCTCCCGCTATGCACACCCCTAATGAGGACTGTATCCCAGAGCTGCGCTGGGTTAAGACCCCCACCCCCACCCCACTTAAGGAAGTAGAGAAGACCCCAGACTCTGGGGTGGGAGGGAAAGGGTCCCCCTTCTCTGTGGGCACCTGGCACAGCCTTCCACGTGATGTGGGTGGCTGTGCCAAGCAGGCAGTGTGATGCCCAAGTGTGAGTGTGTGGGACTCTGTGTGAGCCCAGGTTAGGGGCTCCCACCGGCCATGCCCTGATACCAGCACTTCCTTACTGCCCGCCTGGGACAGGGCATGGCCAGTTGGGGATGGAGAGGTGGAGGACTAGGGGGGAGTTTTTCGTGAGCACCCCATAGAGTCCTGGTGATGCCTGGAGTTAAGCACTAGGCGGCACATCGGAAGGTCAGTGGTTTGAACCCACCAGGGAGGAAGACAGTGCCGTAGGTGCCCACCAGGGAGGAAGAAGGTGGGCAGCCTCTGAAACAATGGTGTGGGGTTCCTCCTCCATCTTTCAGGGTCACCAAGTCAGAACTGGCCCGCTCGGCGGCACAGGTGTGGGCCTAGCCTCACATGAGATGCAGTCAGCATCACCTTTTTGTTTAAAAGAAGAGCGACATCCAGCCTGTAGGTGAATATGCTTGCTGTACTAGGTTAGGCCACTAGGCTTCCATACCTCTGGGACAGCTTTGTGGATTGTAAAACGTAGCCCAAACCATGGACAGGAATGTCTGACAGGACAGAGAAGGGGTTGTGGCGGGCTGTGTGTGCAGGCTCGTGTACTTGCTACGGTGCTGTGCGCCCTCCTCAAGGGTGTCCCTCCCATCCAGCAATGCTGGTTTCAGGGCTCCCCCACCTGCCCCTGGATGAAAGACCCATCCTGGTCTGATCCCCCACCTCTTTCAGGAAGCCGCTTAGCACCTGCAGGTTGTTTACTGGCTATATCCTGGTCGGTCTGGTCTCCTCTACTCTTGGTTGGAGGTGCTGAGGGTCCTGAGCTGGACCGTGGTCCTCCCAGAGTGCAGCAGGGACA